ACGCTGACATCAACAAGCTGCCTGCATACTCCGGTGGCGCCGCCGTCTGTACGTTCCCGGAGTTCCTCAAGTCGGAGATAAGGTCGTCCATGGGTCAAGCGAATGGTGACACTTCGGCGGTGGTGGTCACCGGCGACGGCTGGTTCCACCCCAAGAGCGTCGAGGAGTTCCACAGGTTGTTTGACTCTAACCTGTTCGATGAAAGGTCTGTGAAGATTGTGGCATCGAACACCGGCTCCGGAGTGTACAAGGATCAAGACCTCCATGACAAGTACATCAACATCTCGCAGATTCCGGAACTCTCAGCCATCAATAGAAGCAGCAAGGGCGTAGAGATCGGAGCTGTCGTGTCTATCTCCCAAGCCATCGACATACTGTCGGATGGAGGCGCGGTGTTTAGAAAGATCGCTGATCACCTGAGCAAAGTGGCCTCGCCGTTCGTCCGGAACACGGCGACCATTGGAGGCAACATCATCATGGCGCAGAGGTTGTCTTTCTCGTCGGACATCGCAACTGTTCTTCTCGCTGCAGGATCAACTGTCACCATCCAGGTGGCCGCCAAGAGGATGTGCATCACTCTGGAGGAGTTCTTGAAGCAGCCTCCATGTGATTCCAGGACATTGCTGGTCAGCATCTCTATCCCGGATTGGGGTTCAGATGATGGCATCACCTTTCAGACGTTTCGTGCGGCTCCTCGTCCACTTGGCAATGCTGTGTCATATGTTAATTCTGCATTCTTGGCAAGAAGTTCAGTGGATGGATCATCAGGGAGCCATCTCATTGAGGATGTTTGCTTGGCATTCGGCCCCTTTGGGGCCAAGCACGCCATCAGAGCTAGGGAGGTTGAGAAGTTCTTGAAGGGAAAATTGGTTAGTGCACCAGTGATACTTGAAGCAGTTCGTCTTCTGAAAGGTGTTGTTTCACCAGCTGAAGGCACAACACATCCTGAATACAGAGTCAGCTTGGCCGTCAGTTATCTGTTCAAATTCCTGTCTTCCCTTACTAATGGCTTGGATGAGCCTGAAAATGCTAATGTTCCCAATGGTTCATTTACTAATGGAACCGCAAATGGTATTGTTGATTCCTCGCCAGAGAAGCACTCAAATGTTGACAGCTCTTATTTGCCAATAAAATCAAGGCAAGAGATGGTTTTCTCTGATGAATACAGACCTATTGGAAAACCGATCGAGAAAACGGGAGCTGAGCTCCAAGCTTCTGGTACATATTCTCTTATCCTAAATTCCTATTCTCAATCCGAGCTCACATGTTTTACTTTTAATTGGACTTTCATAGCCTGAACATCTGAACTTGTTATGCAGGGGAGGCAGTGTATGTCGATGACATCTCTGCTCCAAAGGATTGCCTCTATGGGGCATTTATCTACAGCACACACCCTCACGCTCACATAAAAGGTGTAAACTTCAGATCATCTTTGGCTTCACAGAAGGTCATCACAGTTATCACTTTAAAGGACATTCCTACCAATGGAAAAAATATTGGATCATGCTCCCCAATGCTAGGAGATGAAGCGCTTTTCGTTGATCCTGTTTCTGAATTTGCTGGACAGAATATTGGTGTTGTGGTACTTACATCTAAACCAACTTTCATTCAAATGAGGCAGAACTGGTAACATGTCTGAATATTCAGAAATTTTGTGAATAAATTCGAGCTTACCATGTCATATTGCCTTGTTGTCATTCAGATTGCTGAAACTCAAAAGTATGCCTATATGGCGGCGAAGCAATCTGTGATCGAATATAGTACTGAAAATCTTCAGCCACCAATTCTGACAGTAGAAGACGCTGTCCAGCATAACAGCTACTTCCAAGTTCCCCCATTTTTAGCTCCTACGCCAATTGGTGAGTTCAACCAAGCCATGTCTGAAGCTGATCACAAGATCATAGATGGGGAGGTATGTACTTAACACTTTTAAAAATAGACAGAGAGGTTATAATTGTGTGAACGCATGACTTAATATGCTAGTATAATAGTAGAACAATTTTGATGCACACTATCTATTGAGCAGCAGGTGCTAAGAATGAAAGGAGCAACCAAGATTATTATAGTTGAGAGTTCCTAACAATTTTAGGAGAAATACTTACACCCAATTTCTATTTTTTTGTTACAGGTGAAACTTGAATCCCAATACTATTTCTACATGGAGACACAGACGGCCTTAGCTATCCCTGATGAAGATAACTGTATAACCCTCTATGTGTCGGCGCAACTACCTGAGATTACTCAAAATACTGTTGCGAGGTGCCTTGGCATTCCATATCACAACGTCCGTATCATCACGAGAAGAGTTGGAGGAGGTTTTGGTGGAAAGGCAATGAAAGCAATACATGTGAGCATCTGACTATGATGATTTGCATTTGCAGAACAATTATATTCTTGAACTGGTGGAATTTCTCGTCTAACTCTGTAGTTATTCGTACTACAATGCATATGCTTTTGTTTAACAATTATAATAGTAGTACAATAGTATTTCATAACTAAAAATATTGTGAGAACTTAATACATATTTCATTGTTGTGGGCTATTTTAAAATGTGAACCAACTATCGACGGTTTAAATGTCTGTTTTGATAGCGTCATTAGCATGAACTTAGAATTTGTTTGGAATGCAGAAAGATCTAGATATGACCAGAAGTACCTGTTGTTTGACAGGTTGCAACTGCTTGTGCTGTCGCCGCATTCAAGCTGCGGCGTCCGGTTCGAATGTACCTCGATCGCAAGACAGACATGATCATGGCGGGAGGGCGGCATCCGATGAAGGTAAAGTACTCCGTCGGTTTCAAGTCCGACGGCAAGATCACGGGTCTGCACGTTGATCTCAGAATCAACTGCGGAATATCGCCGGACTGCAGCCCGGCGTTGCCAGTCGCCATTGTCGGGGCTCTGAAGAAGTACAACTGGGGGGCTCTCTCCTTCGACATCAAGCTCTGCAAGACGAACGTCTCGTCGAAGTCGGCGATGCGGGCTCCCGGCGACGCGCAGGGCTCGTTCATCGCCGAGGCCATCGTCGAACACATCGCGTCTACTCTCTCAGTGGACACGAACGCCATCAGGAGGAAGAACCTCCATGACTTCGAGAGCCTCAAGGTGTTTTACGGGAATAGCGCCGGTGATCCTTCGACGTACAGCCTCGTCACCATCTTCGACAAGCTGGCGTCGTCGCCGGAGTACCAGCAGAGGGCCGCCGTGGTCGAGCATTTCAACGCCGGCAGCAGGTGGAAGAAGCGGGGCATTTCTTGCGTGCCGATCACCTACGACGTGAGGCTCCGGCCATCTCCGGGGAAGGTGTCCATCATGAACGACGGCTCCATCGCCGTCGAGGTCGGCGGCGTCGAGATCGGGCAGGGGCTGTGGACGAAAGTGAAGCAGATGACAGCGTTCGCGCTGGGCCAGCTCTGCGATGATGGCGGCGAGGGCCTCCTCGACAAGGTCCGTGTCATCCAGGCCGACACCCTGAGCATGATCCAGGGAGGCTTCACCGGCGGGAGCACGACCTCCGAGACTAGCTGCGAGGCTGTTCGGAAGTCGTGCGCCGCCCTCGTGGAGAGGTTGAAGCCCATCAAGGAGAAGGCTGGCACGCTACCATGGAAATCCTTGATTGCCCAGGTGAGGATAGCAATATAGCATCCTTGTAAATTCTTGTTTGAGTTTTCTCGTCCTTAAAAAAACTAATAACTTTTTCAGTAAACTGCAAGCATCAGTAAAGAAAATATTGTTTTCTGAAAGATCATTGTGTCTGACAGCATTGTAAATTTACAAATTTGTGATGGCATTTGCTCGTTCTCGCTTTCAGGCAAGCATGGCGAGCGTGAAGCTGACAGAGCACGCGTACTGGACGCCTGACCCCACGTTCACTAGCTACTTGAACTATGGAGCTGCAATTAGTGAGGTACACACTAAAGATACCCAGATACAAATTACAACAGAAGCTCTGAAAATGCATTTGCCGAGCCAATTTGCTGAGCTTGATCTCCTTCTCAAAGCTAATGCATTGTCCATCCAAAATCTGCACATGAACACTCCAGGTGGAAGTCGATGTGCTGACGGGAGAAACCACCATCCTGAGGAGCGACCTCGTGTACGACTGTGGGCAGAGCCTGAATCCTGCTGTGGACTTGGGCCAGGTCAGTCAATCTACTAAATTACCTTCAAAATATCAGTTGCATCTGCAATTCTGCGCGTTGCAAAATCATTGCAAGAATGAGATGTAAATTATATGTGATCTGAATGTGCAATCGTTGTTTTTTGTGATCAGGTGGAAGGCGCATTCGTGCAAGGGATCGGCTTCTTCACGAACGAGGAGTACACGACCAACTCCGATGGGCTGGTCATCAACGACGGCACGTGGACGTACAAGATCCCCACCGTGGACACCATCCCCAAGCAGTTCAACGTCGAGCTCATCAACAGCGCCCGCGATCACAAGCGCGTCCTCTCCTCCAAAGGTGAAATCATCGTCTTCTTCCTTTGAGCACTGAAATCGTGAAGGAAATCGAAATCTGAAACTGTTTTGTGATCCATCGTGGCAGCGTCCGGTGAGCCGCCGCTGCTGCTGGCGTCGTCGGTGCACTGCGCGATGAGGGAGGCGATCAGGGCGGCCAGGAAGGAGTTCGCCGGCGCCGGCGGCTCGTCGCTGACGTTCCAGATGGACGTGCCGGCGACGATGCCGATCGTCAAGGAGCTCTGCGGCCTCGACGTCGTGGAGAGAGATCTCGAGAGCTTTGCTGCCAAAGCCTAGAGATAGTGGGTTCTTTGGCGTAGCTTTGTATAAACACCAACAATAATCTGTGCCTGGATTTGTGTTGATGTGGTATATATGTACAGAAGAAAAGTGTTTTTTTTTTTTGGAAAAATAAAATCATATTGATGGTAATGTTCTATCTTGTCTCATGGCTATCCAAATGAAAGGGAGTTTATTTTTTTCCAAAATGCCGATAAAAAGGAAAAATAATGCCATTCTTTTTTAGATGGGATCGGTCGTTGTTGGGTCGGACCGAACCTAGATATTATCGGGCGCTTGACGTGCCGTTTGTTAAAATAGGTTAATTAGAGCCGTTGATTTTTCATCCAACGGACGAGATGGCGTGTGCAGCGTTCTCCACCGCGGCGCCAAATTTCAGGCCACTCTGAATCTGAGAATGAAATGCAGTTTTATTACATGAAGATGTTACAGATTTCTGTCTCATCGCTCATCAGTCGACGTGTTGTGAAGCCAATCAAGGAAACGAGAATTCAGATGCGAAGTCTTCCAGCTGCCACGCGGCAGACGTCGTAGCCTGCTGCGTCGACGGTGCGCCGCCGCCGCCGCCGTCTCGCTGCCCCGGCGGAAGGGTCGTACGCGCGTGGGCGGCGGCGGCGCTGTGCATGGCGATCTGCGCGTGGGTCCAAGCGAGCTCGCACTGGGCGGCGCGGATCTGGTCCTGGAGGCGGTTGATGACGCCGGCGCAGCCGTACACCGGGTCCTGCACCCGCCGGTACGCCTCCGCCGCCATCGAGTCCGCCGCCCGCCCGCGCTCCTGCACCGGCAGTTGCTGCACGCAATACAACGATAGAATTGAGACGCGCATCACTGCGAAATTAACATATGGAGTATAGCTCTGTTCCAATTTGCAGCCCAATTATTAGGACGTGGATTTTCATCTCTCGAGAGGACATGTTTGCATGTCATCTAAATAGTTATTAAATAATTTAAAAAAAAATTGACAATATAGATTAATATAAAATATATCACTCCACAAATATGCAAAACCAAATTCAATTTCTATAAGTTGCAACAAAAATAACAAATTAAATTGAAAATAGTTATCGCACATTTACAACTATATTTGTTGTTTTTGTTACAACTTGTAAAAGTTGAATTTAAACTTGTATGTTTGTGGAGTGATATATTTCACATTAATCTATGTTACTAAATTTTTTTCATATTTTTTAATAACTATTTATGTGACATATGTGAAACGACGGGATATCCTCTCGAGGGATGAATTCACTTTCCCCAATTACACTACACATCAACAATTTTATCACTAACAAGTAACAACTTCGATCACGTGCCAACTTCTAACTGAATAAGGTGTACAGTGAGTGAGCTAGTGACACCAATATAGCCCCATATGTTTTTTTTTCAATTGCATAGAAGACGTAAACCAACGCACGCACACTACCAAGTGATAGTGAAAAGAGAAATTTTGATACCTCGAAATACTGCTAGATTTACATTGGTATTTTTTTTATTAATAATGGTAAAATTATTTTAGTGAAAAAACATACCACGCTCAAAAAAAAGAAAAAACATACCAGCTCGTGTAATTTCCGTTTAGAAATATGAGTGTGGTAGTATGTGTGGTATAGCTAGCTACTAGTAGTAGTGATCAGTGATCACCTGGAGCATTCTGGCGGTGTTGCCGGCGCCGAAGACACGCTGAACGCAGGCGTATCTGTGGGGATCGGAAGCCGGGAAGTGGGGCGCGAGGACGCAGTCGCGGGAGCACCGCCTGCGCAGGAACTTGCACGCGGCGCAACGCCTTGTCGCGGAGCCGCCGCTGTCGCTGCTGGCTTCCACGTCCTCCTCACCGGGGGACATGATCTACCGGGAGATCTCACGGAGGGGAGATGGAGATTTGGTTCAGGATCTCGTGGATCTTGGCAAGATTTTGCATGGGGAGATTGGGATTTGGCAAATCCATGGCCGGCTCTATGTATGTGCGTACGAGAGGAGAGGAGACGGTGGATTCGTCTCTACATGGAAGTGTGGCAACGGCTAGTTGGAGTATTTTGCATGGGAAAAAATTAACGCTATAATTATTTGTGATTAGTTGAATAATTGCACGAGAAAGAATACTAAGCAACGGCATGAGCAGATGCGCGAGCGCGAGCGCGCGCGCGCGCTACCCACGTTTCCGTTTTTTTCGCGGTTCCATTTCAGGCAGGTTTGGGCTGTTCCTGCCGGCTACCGTTTGTGGGTAGCTGGTAGGATTTTCGTTATTATATTTATTCCATTTAATTTGAGCTCACAGCAATATGAACGTGGTGTACAGTAAAGTACTCCCTCCCTCTTTCACTAAATGTTTGACGCCGTTGATTTTTTTAAACATGTTTGACCGTTTGTCTTATTCAAAAACTTTTGTGAAATATGTAAAACTATATGTATACATAAAAGTATATTTAACAATAAATCAAATGATAGGAAAAGAATTAATAATTAATTAATTTTTTAATAAGACGAACGATCAAACATTTTTTAAAAAGTCAACGGCGTCAAATATTTTAGGATGGAGGGAGTACTAGCTAATATGAGCTCTAGGTTTTTTTTAAGGGGGGTTTGAGGTGTGGTTGGCAGGGTTTGCCTTACTACGCGGTTAACTCCGGGCTCGGCGGTTTAAAAACCCTGGTAGTTGGTGGGCGGTTTAACATGCACTGGTTTTCCAAAGTGCTATTGGTCTCCTTTTCTTTTCTGTTATGAAAAAACAAAGACTAAATTGAGGTGCTAGGAATAGTTGGTTTGCCGGTGCAAATAATAGCTGCGATCCTAGTTTCTTCAAACTTAGCTTAGACTTCCATCAGACTTCCTAATTTCTGTTGTTGCTGTTCAGATTGCAATCCTGGCTTCTTGTTTTAATTAAGCATAATGCCCTCTAAAAAGAGTAGTGTCAAGAAACGCAATATAAAACCACCTTCGCACAGGAACAAGATTTCATTTCTCAAACCCCAATCGATTTTATTTATACACAGTTTTTATGGAGCCACAGAAAGGCTAGAGTATAAAGATTCGTTCCTATTACTGAATTCGCCTCTAAGAACATCAGCTGCTCTTTGGATTGCCCTAGAGATTTTCCGCACCTCATGCCGCACCGCCGCCTGCTGTTCTTTCGCGCTTCGATTGCTCGACCGGGAGATGGCGTCCGCCACCCCAGGGAAAAACGAGAGCTTGCTTTCGTAGTCCTCCGGAGGCGAGTACATCTAGCAAGAAATATAAAAGCGTGGTCACGCACAACATTTTTTTTTTCTAAATTTGGTTATGACTTATGACTTATGAATAGCGGGAGGCTTAAGAGTGTAAGTGGCTAACCCGCGAAACCCACTTATAGGCCAAAATAAGCCGCAGACCTGCTTATTTTGACCTATAAGTGGGTTCATGGCTGACCCACTTAAGGCTCACCAGATGCTTGAACCATCCTCTTCCCTGAAGTCCATCAGCTTGCAGAAAGCTTCTTTCAGCAAGTAGAAGACGGTCGTTCAACAATCGCCGCCTCATCAGAGAGTACCCATCGGATATATTTTGGTCCTGTAATTTCTAGAATGTTCCAAATCAACAAAAGAAAATAAGGTTATCATCGGCAATATAGATTGGTACAAAATATTTAAAACATGAGATCCAAGTGGCAAAATAAATGGCATCCATCATGGGAATGGAAAAATAACTGTACTGATATAATAATTTTTAAGAGAAAGCATCAATAATGTGATGTCAGGCACCAAAAGGATTACTAAGTTCTAAGAAATTAAAGTTATTGCCTGTATGTGCAGCAAAACTGCAAAAGGCAAATGTCTAAATAAAATTGGATATCCAAATATACATACTGCCGTTTCAAACTGGTTGTACATACAGAAGTGATATGCAGTGTGCAGAGTGAAAGAGCTAAAGAAGAAAATATCTTCAGCCAACCGCAACTATAATGGACTACAGACTACCTAATTACATGGAAACAGAAAGACAAAACAGAATATAAAGCAAAAGAAAAAAAGATTCTTGAACATACCTTTGCCTCTTTCAGAAATTCTAAGCCTGCATCAGAAAGATCTTCAATGGATCTATTCAGCAAATGAACCCATTTGCTATTTTCCATCATACTAGAGAATGCATTTGCATGCTCCTGCGACATTGCAAGTTCAAAATGTACATCAGAAGATGAGACCATGATGCTGTGGGAAAAGGAAATATACCCCTACTCTAATATGATCTATGAACCCATGAAGTTGGTCATCATGCGTGACTTATATTTGTGTTCTAAAGTTCAGTTCAACTAGATTGAGCATATGTGCATTCAAAATTGTCAATTACAATGTTGTTTTGAGCAAAACCCTGTTTTTGGGTCAAGCTCCCATTGCATAAGCAAAAATTGAATATGCTACATAAACATACACGTACAGTCCTTCAGGATGATAAATGCCAATCATATGAAAATGTTAAATGCTTGTGCTAATTCTGAAAGAATCGATGTACCTGCAACTGGGAAGCGTATGTTTGATAATCAAAAGGCAGCACAGGGTCATCTGCTAATCGAAGGGCCAGTAGTCCCCAAATCTCCACAACTGTTGAGCCAAAGTAAATGAGCATGATGAGTATTATAAGAGATGTGTACAACATATTTTAAAGCACAAAAATACCAAACTCAGCTGCGACCTTATGTCTAGTTCTATATGGGATAGTCCATAGAATTTTTATAATAATTGACTGGTCTTGTACCAGTGCATTCAAGTTAACAGTAATTTGAACAAGCAAAATTGTAGTTTGTAAGGTATTGCACATTTTCTCCCTTTCAGAATCATTTTAAAAGATCATTACTGCTACTTACTAGCCACGTGACGAAGAAACAGTGGATCACCATGCTTTTCCATCCAATGATACGAGTCAAGAGCCGTATGATATCCAGGAAATTCTGCGTATTAGACCAGTTAGATGATGTCCTGCATTCTCTCTAGAAAGTGGGGTGATGGGGAAATATTTTGTCTCTTCTAACTTTATCTTGGAACCAGGAAACGATTGAGAGATGTACAAAATTAAATCACATAGCTCAACAAAATATTTTAAAAAATGAGCAAGCAGTAACGATCCTAAAAAATGGGGTTGCATTAATGTCCTCTGCTTAGAAAACATATACTGTTCTCTCTTTTGAGAAAAAAACAGTTTATTTTTTGAGCAAAAAAAGCAAGTCTTTTTCTCCGTATATTACATGCTATATTGGAGAAGGAAAAGGAAAGTTATAAGTTAATTTAACAATAATAAACAGAAAGACGTGATTGCATGCTTAAAATACCTTTTCCATAGTATAAATCCATACAGGGGATCCCAGCATGATGTAGAAATGGAGCAAAGTCAGAATCAGTTCTGGCAAGTCTTTCTATCTGCGAATTCATTGTCAGTAAATAATCAGAACATATATATGAGTTAGACGCTCAAAAGATCATAACCAGAATTTTTTTTCACTTACGGTAGCAAGCGATAGTAATTAATTTACAGCACAATAAAAAAGTTTAGACAAAATCAGAGTGAAGTAGATGGAATGGCTCCTCGGGCGTCTGGCAGAATGCTTGGCCTCCTGCGCCAGAAACTCACCCTTCAGGCACACAAGTGAGGTGATGGAAGGTACTACAGCAAGGAGGACCACAATAAGCAGTTTGTTCATTGAAGACAGGGAACAAGACAGATGGAGTGTCATGGACACGTGAACTGGCTGTGGAAATTAGTTGCCTAATTTACAGTTCTACACTTCACACATACACATGATTTTAATCATACACATCATAGGTACCTCATCAATCTACATTGTATTTGTGCACCCGCTGGTAAATAGGCATGGGAAAGTGGGACATACATGTGCCTGATATAGGTGAGGTTTTCCCCGCGCCAGTTAGGACAATTATTTCAGACGTCCTGGCTGGGTTAACATGGTAGGGACCAAGTTGTATAGCACTTAGTATGTGGTTGAGGCCTTGAGAAGCAATGGGCCAAGGCATCTAATTGCATGGTCGGAAACAAGAGTTTCAAAGGGACAGTGGGACTTGAGACAGTTGTTGAGTGAGCAACTGGGTGATGCATCACACCTTGATGCTCCTTGACCAAAGTTAGTCCAGTGATAAACCCGGACTGCATATTCTTAATATGTAACAGTATGCAACACAAAAAATGTATAACCAGGTACAGGTAGTTTGTAGCCTAATTTATTGGAACTGGAATATCCATCGACACAATTTGGTTATTATCTTATTCCACAATTCTATGTAGAAAGTGTGAATTTTGACTAGCACTAAGATTGCATGTGGGATCCAGACCTTGCATGCTCAACTTGATGGAGACAACCGAGTAGCGATTATTCTCTGCAACCGATACAGCTGACTTTCACATGCACCTTCAACTGGTACAGCCATGTCAACTTCAACAGAACGGAAATTTTTTCTACATAAAGGTATCGCCCTTAAATGGTAAATCTGATTGTCGTGGAAAGCAAATGACATTTTGTAAGGTTTGGAGCTTTCCATGGTATTTATGGAAGCCATCATTTGGAGTGCTTGGAGTAATTATGACGTGGGCTTGACACAAAAATGAGTGGGAGTCATTCCAGATGTTACAAAATTAGCTGTTCATGCCAACTAATCATTGCTGATGGATAAATTGTTGACCATATTTCATTCAGAAGGTTTTTCAAAAATTCTGACAAAGAATTTCAGCGAAACAATTTTGAAAGATCAACCAGCCAGATACCAAGTAATTAGTTAATTCATACTATGTGATAGTCCTAATAATTAGAGGGTTATCTTGGAGGTGCCACCCCCAACTAGCTTTAAGGTGGTCAGGGGCTTAATTCCGGGTTGGCCCAGCCTGTATTTGGCTAGTTTCTATGAATAGGTTTTCACTTTCAGGCCCCAGGCCACCTGGGCCACAGCCAGGGGCCTGCGTTAGCCCATGAAGGTGGTGAGGGCTAGATGCCTATATAAGGTGAAGTTATGAAACATGAAGTTATCGTTATCTTTTATTACTATTATTTTTGGTTCGTTCTTTGTGCCACTGATGCGTTCTACTAAACCAATATCGATATATCTTTATCTAAATAACAATTTCATGTATTTATATTACCTGTTTTGTAAGGATTTGAAAAAAAGAAAGAAGGAATTGCTCACGTCAGAAGTATAAGATCAGTGCATAGCAAGTAGTAATTTTCACTTTCATTTTTGTATAGTTGTCATGTAGACTGTCGACTACAACAAAGATTCGACGACACCAGATTAGCACATCTCGTAAGTATATCTTGTGTGGGGGATGTCTCACTCTAGGAACTGAGATCTATATGGGCCTGCCCCCTGCACTTGGAGCAACTGCACCCAATGTAGAACTGCATACCTTACCCTACTAAAAACTCAAAACAAAAGAACAACCAACTCAGTAACTCACTATGCAGAAGATTAGTTGTCGGCATAGATAATTCAAAGTTACCAACCCTGTAGTGTACAAAGTGTGACCACTAGATGGCTATTATAAAAGTGATGTTTGACTTTAAACCAGTTTAGAACAGCTAGTGACAACCTGGATTGAGTACATCTCAATATGTATATAGAAAAGCATGTTTAAACCTTCGAGATCTTACATTGATGCCTCCGGTCATTTTATTCCATGTATCATGGACTGTTTTTCCTTCAACATCTGGATCTTTTACCTAGAAGCAAAAAGTTCTGAATGAATAAACATAACTTCACTTCAGAACAATTCTAAAATTTGGTATAAATAGCTGAGTGGACTGAGGTTTCTAAATGAAAACCCAAGCTCATAGAAAAATGCAATGGAAACACATTAATCTCTACCTGTCTTGTAACATCGACCAAGAGGTTGTCCAACTGGGGGGTAGAACCAGCAAAAAGCCCAATTCCTTGCACCGCACAATCAACATTTAAGTAAGCTACAGCTTTCGATTGCAGATCTTCGAGGTTCTCTTCGACCCATTCAGTTGATCCGATCTGGAAAAAAGAACCTTCAAAATGTAGAAAAGAAATAAACGGGACACAAATAAATGAGATCTTTGAGAACTGTGACAGATGAATCAAATCAACCAGAAAAGTTCATTCAAAAGGATAGCTACGAACATGCCAACTATATATGATTTTTTTGTGGGGTTCCTTTCATAAAATGCAAATGCCATATATGTTACTTTGAAAATGTTAGGGTGTGGGGGCATCTGCATGGTTTCCTTTTTCACATGGTGTTCAGCAACATATTCTCAATTTTCTTTAATATGAACTCACCATTCCAAACTCTTCGGCATCCCAACTACAAAGAATGATGGTCCTCCGTGGTGTCCAGCCTGACTGCAGCATTATTCCAAGACGCCGAGCAATATCAAGAAGCGCAGATGTCCCGCTGTTAGGGTCAACTGCTCCATAGGTCCATGCATCTCGGTGGTTACCAAGGATAACGTAACGATCAGGTTCTTCGTACCCTTTAATAATAGCAAAAATATCCTGTATCATGCCCATCTTCCTGTCCTCCTTAAATAAGATATAAGAGAAAACCATTATGGTCTTGATTGTACTTAACTCTAAAACATAGTCTCATCTGCCAGTTATACAAATATGCAAAACTGTGCAAAAGAAAAGATGCATCCTGAAACACTAACTTGCCTGGAGGACAAGCACGGACAGCTATTATGCAATGCTTTATTTGTCCAATATATATAGCTCATCCAATTGAGAGACATGACAACAGATCCAGCATATAGAAACAACACAGAATAATGACAAATAGGCCTACAGCAACATAACAAAGGGAGCCATAAAAGCATACCACTTGCAAAACTTACGTCACAAGTGCTCAATGATTTGGTGCTCATAGCTCAGTATGCCCACAATAATATTTCTCATTCTGTATAAATCTGTAACAATAATAATCTAACTAAGTTTAACCAATATGCACTACAAAGGAGCAAAGGCTGGTCAATACGCTCAACATCAAGCATAATGCTATTTGTAGTTTTGTACACACTACCACAGATATAAAAAAGGGCTAATAAAACAACAGGTGCTAGGACCACTGTCCACTGAAACCAAAATAGTCAAGCGGACAAGGAAATGGTTACTGTGCTTCCTAATCAAACTGCAAATGTAGTGACATCTTTTACAGCTCAAACAATTTAGGAGCTTATCCAGAATCTCAACACGGCAGTTTACAACATGGACTACTACGATGACTCTTTCCCCATTCAGCACAGACGTCTCTCTTAAGTTGAAAACAAAATGGCAACAGCCTATCACTGGAAAACCCAGTCAAGATAGGTCAAAGGAGCGGTCCATGGCTTTGATTCCTGTTTCCCTGCAAACGTACCCAGCGTCCTTGTCTCTAAGCGAGTAATCATAGATAGACAATCCTCCAGGCGATTTGTATTTTATACCTGATATGTGAAGTTGACCAGAGTGGGACCAGGTCCAACGCCGCCGACATCCACCGGGAGTCCAACTCCGGTCTGCCAATCCGCCGGCAAAGCCGGGCCACCTAGTGTCCGTATGATAGCCGAAGCCGTCTTGCCCGACACCGGCATAGATGGGATGGCCGGAAACCGCCGCTTAACATCCTCGTGGTCGAAATCCAGGCGCTCCGCCCCGGCCGTGGCGGCCCACCCGGGGGTGAGCGGGTCGCCGGGGCCTCCGAGGATTACCGTGCCCCTCTCGACCCCGCCGTCCGCGTGGCCGGCAATGAGAACGGCAGCGGCGCTCCTTTCCGCGGCGCGGCGCACCACCCCGCCGCGGTAGCCTCCTCCTCGGATCGCCACCGCGACGCGGCCGCGGACGCTCACCCCGAGCCGCTCCAGCGTGAGGTAGTCCTCCTCGCGGCCGAGGTTGACGAACACCGCCTCCGCGACGGCCCCGCCGGACGGGGCGTACGCGTGGTACGGCCGCACGAGGCGGCGCCCGACGTCCGCCGGCTCGTCGAGGGACAGGTGCGCGAGGAGGGTCCGGTCGGCGCGGAGCAGCGCGAGGGAGGCGTGCCCCGGGTACGAGAGCAGCGGCGTGTACTCCCGCGTTAGGGTTCGGAGCCCCGCGGCGCGGAACCCCGAGAGCACCCGCGCGGCGGCGCCGGCCGCCGCGCCCGTCCCCGCGAGGTGCGGCCCCGCGGTGAGCGCCCGCAGGTCGGCGGCGATGGTCGCGTTCGCCCCCTCGGACAGGGCCAGGAACCGCGCGGCCGGGTCGTACTCCGCGGGGCCGCCGCCGCCCGCCGCCCCCCTCGCGGCGGGGCGGCGGTGGAGGACGACGAGCGAGACGAGCAGCGCCGCCCCGAACCCGACGAGGACGCGCACCGACGCGGGGGGCAAGCGAGCCAGCGCCGCGGCGGGCTGCGACAGCATTTCGCCGTGAGAGGCGAATGCGCGGCGTGCTTTCTCGCGTGCGAGTGCCACCCGTGCAGCGAGCAGTGCACAGCGCAGCGCTCTAGTTAATGCGGGCATTCGCACCGTGTTGAGGAGGGGGGCCCAAGCTCCATTTCGATAAGTACGCCGCCGCTTGGAACGCCTTTTTTTACGGGGGCGGAACGGGAAGCTTGGATTGGCTTTGGCCAGCGGTGGCGGTGGCGGTGGCAGTGGCGCAGCTACAGACGCTAGTGCGCTACGTGGGGTTTTTTGGCGTTTTTTTTCACCGGCTCGGAACAGGGTGTTCGGTTGTGGTGGTGGCCGTGTCGAGGGGGCCCTGGCCGTCGCCGGCAGCTCGCCTTTCCGGCGTGTGCCGCCGAAAGATTGATAGATCGAGCGGTGGACAGCGATGGGGCGCATCGCGTCCGGAGAGTTGCATGTTTGCAGCCGCGTGGAAATTCTGGTGCGTGATCGGGAGAGTGAGAGGATGCTCCATCGGGCGCTTTGGTTGGCGATGGATGGATAGGCTGTCGCATCGTGGATTCCTGGTGGCTATCTAGCAGTTCACCATGGAGTATATTGTTCCTTTTATTTTTGTTCGGGAATGTAGGTAGTGTATCCTTGATCTCATCCGAAGGCGGCTACTCCAAACAATTTGCCATATGGATAGTGGAATTGTGGCAAGTGCTCTTTACTTTTTATAGTATTATTGGATAAAATTCCGGGCATTTGCCACGGGAATATTGTTTGGCAGAGATGGAAATAAGGTGCAAATGAAAGAGATTTGTGGCCTTGATCAATCATAGAAAAAAGGCTATACACATTAGACTATGGATTGATCATTCGAAGACATCACGCTGAGGGGTTATGGTACATGTATAAACTTTTTCTTCAACTCTATGAAAGTATATAGGATTTGGATATCCTTTGAGATTATTATCAATTTTATTGACCACATGGGTTATAACGTACTCCATCCGTCCCAAAAAAAGATAAACCCTGGTTTCCGTATTCAACGTTTGACTGTCCGTCTTAGTTGAAAAAATTATAAAAAAAATTAAAAAGATAAGTCACGCATAAAATATTAATCATGTTTTATTATCTAACAACAATAAAAATACGAATTATAAAAAAATTTCATATAAGACGAACAGTCAAAGTTAGACACGGAAACCCAACGTTTGCCTTTTTTTTTTTTTGGACGGAGGGAGTAGTGTTCAGATTCTCTAGTATACTAGAACTGGAACCATGAGACTAGAGGGACGTGTAAACAATTCCAGTTTGCTCTTTTAACGGATGCCAGCAAATAGTACAGTTGTTAAAAAAAAAGTAGAGCAGTAGATTTAAAGGTTTGGTGTTGGTTCCACACCTAAGCAAATCAGATTGAAGAAGAACAGAAAAGGACGAGCACCGACGTATAAACAACGGAGTCCAACTGATACCAACTTTACCACTGACGTTTGCTTCACACCTACCAGTGTCCAGTGCTAAGGTGAGCAACAGAGCATATGCCGCTTTTTTAATTGAGTTAATTTCACTCATCACTTTTATTAGTATTAGTTACTAAAGTTTTACAATAAATTTAAGGTAACCCTATAGTTTTATTTAATCACCATATACATTTATCATATTTGCATTCCGGACCCAGGTTGATAACATGGGTGCCACGCCAGCTTTGGCCCAAGAACAACACAGGAGAGGGGTGGTCTAATCCACGGTCAATCACGCACAAGGGACGCACAATTGGAAACGAAAAAATAAGGCATGGACAAAACCAATACGGGTGTGATCTACGGAGGTTGCTAGTTGGCGTGTGCGCGTCAGCAGCGAGTATTCCTCCCTCCATTTAGTCTTAAGTAACTATATTAGTTAATGTACTTAACACTAATGATAGTAATTAGGAAAGATTCTAGAGATTTTTTTACTAACATATTGAAATTTTTTTTAAGTTAGATCTAAAAACTTTCGATTTAAGTTTCAAATTTTAAAAACTTTCAACTCAGATTTGAAAACTTTCACCTTGAAATTTGAAAACTTTCTACTCAGATTCGAAAACTTTCAAGTCCAGATTTGAAAATTTTAAAAACTTTCAATTTGAGATTTGAAAACTTTCAACTCGAGATTTGAAAACTTTCAAGTTGAGATTTTGAAAACTTTCAAATCTAAGATTTGAAAATTTTGAAACTTTTCATCGAGATTTGAAAACTTTCAACTTGAGATTTGAAAACTTTCAAGTCGGGATTTAAAAACTTTCAAGTTCAGATTTGAAAATTTTCAACTCAAAACTTTAAAACTTTCGAACTCAAAACATGCTAGATAAAAAACCGAAAAAAGTGGGAAAAAAGGAAAAAAAAAAGGTAAAAAAAAAGTGGAGGAGACGCACGCGCGCCAGCACAGCGACGCTGGGCCTTCTGGGCCCGAAACGCGCACCGCCGGCTCGCGCGTATTAGCTTTTCCGGTGCTCTACGCCTCCTTTTCTCTTTTTTTTAAAATGGCCAACAAGAGGATTTCTGGCCCAGTAGCACATTAGCCCAATAAAAAATTATACATATAAACTTTATATTTTTACATATACATATATAACTTTGTACGTACAACATGTACATATAACTTCAATCAATTTTTTAAAATAAATTAGAAAAATAGACAAGGCAAAAAATACGTGTGGGATGATAAGAAATGGCCTAGTAGGAAAACAAAGAGGCTCAATTTATACTCGATCTGCCGAATAAAGAAAGCTAAGTGACCATAAGCCTATAAAATGATTAGGGTGTGTTTAGTTCTTTGGGTGTAAAGTTTTTGAAGTATATGGACACATATTTGAAGTATTAAACGTGGACTAATAGCAAAACAAATTACAGATTTCACATGTAAACTGCGAGGCGAATTTATTAAGCCTAATTAATCCGTCCTTGGCAAATATTTACTGTAGCATCACATTGTCAAATCATGGTGTAATTAGGCTTAAAAGATTCATCTCACAATTTACATACGAATTGTGCAATTGATTTTTTCCCACATTTAATGCCCTATACATGTGTTAAATATTTGATGTGACGTTTTTGACAAAAAAAATTTTGGAATTAAACAAGGCCTAGTAAAAAAAAGGAAAGGCCAAAACCGAGTGGGCCAAAAAGGAAATGGGCTGACCATTAGCCTTTTCGCACAGGAGAACCCACACGCGAAGTCAAGAGAGGAATCGCACGGGTAGCCGACTCAAGGGCTATGACTGATTCATCGGCTCATGTGCCATTCACTCGACAACAACATGGACTCAAGGGCTCTCTGGCACCGATTCCTCGGTTATGTGCCCATCCACTCAACAGCAACATGGCTTCTATCCAGAAGGCTTTGTTTGGTTGCTCGGCAACAATCATTCTCCCTCCGCATCCATTCTAGTCATTCCCCTATTAGTCATCACTACTGGATAAACCATCTTTGTTGGGTGGACAAAAAACATAATAGTCCCGGTTTGAATAGAAACCGGAACTAAATATGATTTTTTTTATCTCGGTTTAAAACTCTGTCGGCCCTAGGTGATCTTTAGTCCTAGGTGATCCTATTCCTCCTCTCTCTTACACTCTCCTTCCTATTTCTGACCGAGACTGTCAGGGGGCCAAGCATTTTTAGGATTGAAAATTAATCTTTAGTCCCAGTGGGTAAAAAAACCATACACAGTATATAATCCCTAGGACTTATCCTCCCAAATTGCTCATCTTCCCATTCCTCTCCTTTATCCTTATCCTCTCCTTCCTATTCCTCCTCTCTCTTATCCTCTCCTTCCTATTCCTCCTCTATCGACGAGAGCAGATCGAGCGAGGCCAGCGGAGGGTGGTGGATGGCGGATTTTTTTTTTGAGAATTTATGATTCGGATCTTAGATGTATTTGATTTGTGTGTGATGTAAATATGTGATGTATTTGTGATGATTTTCTTAGAACTTGTGATGTATTTTTTTTAGAATTTGTGATGTATTTGGAGACGATCGATTTGAGGATTTGAAGATATCCTTTTGTTCTCTGATCTGTGATGATCGATTTGGGATTTCACGATCTGGGGATGATTCGGGGATGGAGTGAAATCAATATTCAATGTTTAAAACAATGGGAAAAAAAAGAAAAAAGAACTAGCAACCGGACCTGACCTGGGTCCATCTTTAGTCCCGGTTGGTATAATTTTTAATCCCGGTTATTTCACCCGGGACTAAAGATGGGGCATCTTTAGTCCCGGATTCGTGATTCCGGTTGCATAACCGGGACTATAGGGGGTTATCAACGGGGACCGATGCCCTTTTCTCCAGCGGTGCATCTCAAATGGATTAGTAGTTAAGAAAAAGTACGAATTAACCCCCCTCCCCCCGAACTACCGCGATCAACCGAATTATTCCCCTAAACCCGAAAAAGACATCGTTCGCCCCTAAACTTTCAATACCAAACAAATTACCCCCCTCGACCGAATAACCGGGACTATAGGAGTTTATCAACCGGGACCGATGCCCCTTTCTCCAGCAATGCATCTCAAATGGATTAGTGGTTAAGAAAAAGTACGAATTAACCCCCCTCCCCCTGAACTATCGCGATCGACTGAATTACCCCCCTAAACCCAAAAAAGACATCGTTCACCCTTAAACTTTCAATACCAGACAAATTACCCCCCCTCGACTCAATCCAGAGCAGTTTTGTCCTACGTGGCGTACGCGTGGTAGTCCAGTCAGCATTTTATTTATAAAAAATATGGGACCCACCTGTCATACTCCTCTCTCGCAAATGCACAAATGGTAGGGAACAATTCAAATGGCATGTGGAATTTCAAATTCGTCATTGAAAAGAAAAAACAGCAATCATACAATTCATCTTATTTTTCTTTTGGAATAAGTTCACTTTGGGTCCCTCTATTTGTCGCCCAGTCTGATTTTCATCCCTCGATCGTAAAACCGGGTACAACAGGTTCCCCAACTTACAAAACCATTTAAATAAGGTCCCTCGGCAGTATTTGACCCGGTTTTGGCTGAGGTGGCGCTTACGTGGCTATTTTGACTCGGTCTTCATCCGATGTGGCATTGACGTGGCGCTTACGTGGCAATTCGATCCAAAAATAATAAAATATATGGGACCCACATGTCAGTTTCACACACACTAATAAAAAAATGGTGGGGCCCACGTGGATCCCACCTGTCATCACCTCTCTCTCTCTATCCCCTCTATCCTTTCTCTTCTCCCTACCCCCCTCTCTCTCTCCCCTGAAAATGGTGAGCAGCGGCGGGCAGCGCAGAGGGGCGGCGACGGAGCTGAGAGGCGGCAGGCGGTGGGTGGAGCGGCGACGAGCGGCGGGTGGAGCGCCGGCGCCGGGGCCGGGCTACCGCCGCTGCAACTTCCGCGTCGGCCACCACGTCGCTCCCATCCACCTCGCGCAGATGGAGCAGGAGCCGCTCCTTGACCCCGTTCCGATGGCGTCACCGGCACGGTTGACGTGGGCGCACCGCAGGACGCGGTGGCTCCCCCACGTCTTCAGCGACGGGAACGACGAGAGGACCGCGGCTGGTGGCGAGCGCTCGACGCCGCTGACTCCACCGCCGCGGCGCCATCCGCGACGGGATCCGGGTGACGAGGCGGGGGCGGCTAGGCGGAGATCACCATGGCCGCGGGCGACGACGACCGAGAACTTGGCTGCTTTCGGGTGGTTCGCGCCTAGTTAATTCGTTTGCCACGCTAACACTGACAGAAAAATGTGGCAGGCAAAGCATGTGTGTGAGCTCCAGATGAGTTTAGTGGAAGCAATGTAACCTCACTGCAGCATTAAAGCCAACTGCAACCAAGCCAACCATCAGTGTCCAGAGCTGGTAGTTCATGCTGTTGAGTGTTGAGCAGCCACCAGGACATGTCGCCGACGAGCGCCGCGCCGACGACGAGCCAGTTGAGCAGCGCGTGGTCTTCAGAGACGCTACAGTGGTCGTCGTCGCGCTCCACCCGCCGCCAGCCGCCTCTCTGCGCCGCCCGCCGCCGCTCGCCATTCTCAGGGGAGAGAGAGGGATAGAGAGAAGAGGAAGGGGAGAGAGGGGATGATAGGTGGGGTCCATGTGGGCCCCACCATTTTTATTATTGTATATGTGAAACTGACATGTGGGTCCCATAGATTTTATTATTTTTTAGATCGAATTGCCACGTAAACGCCACGTCAATGCCACATCGGATGAAGACCGAGTTAAAATAGCCACGTAAGCGCCACTTCAGCCAAAACCAGTGTCAGATTCTGCCGAGGGACTTTTTTAAACGGTTTCGTAAGTTGGAGGATCTGTCGTACCCAGTTTTGCGATCATGGGATAAAATCAGACTGGGTGACAAATAGAGGGACCAAGAGTGAACTTATTCCTTTTCTTTTTGAGAAGATTGGTTTGGTACAAGTCGTATATGAGTGGGCCTAGTTAAAATCCAATGTCCAATAGGCTTCCAAGGTGGGCCGTGGGCGTGTATCACATGGTGGGAACTGGGGCGTGTCTCATGCTGTCACGTGGCAGCTGACGCAATGCCACAGAAAGCGATCGGTGTCTGGTCGGCTGGATTTACTTGGACGCGGCGGCGGCGGCGGCGGCGGCGTCACCGCCGTTGCCGTAGACGAAGCGCCTCACGACCCGGACCAGCTCGCTCCCGGCGTCGCCTAACGGCTCGACGGCGAAGAACCCGTGGTGCTGCCCCTCGAACTCCACCATCTCCACCTGCTTCCCCATCGCCCTCAGCCTCGCGGCGTAGTCCACGTCGCGGTCGCGCAGCAGGTCGAGCTGGGCGACCACCACGAGCAGCGGCGGCAGCGCGACGGCGTCCATCGCCGGGCTCTCCGGCCCGAACGGGTTGGCCAGCGGGTGGTCCCTCGTGGCGCCCCGCGGCAGCGCGAGGCGCCACCCCTGGTCGGAGAAGGGCAGCGTCAGGAACGGCCCCGGCGGGTACTCCGCCTCCGACCTCGTCCTCTCCTCGCCGCCGAAGTACGGGAACAGCAGCGCGCACCCCGCGACGCGCGCCGGGTCGACGGCGATCTGGCCCGACCCGAGGCGGAGGGCGACGTGGTGGACGATGCCCGCGCCGGCCGAGTCGCCGGAGACGAACACCCGGCCGAAATCCGCCGACTCCGCGAGCCATGGGTCGGCGGCGTCCCCGCTCGCCACGGCCTGGTCGCGCACCCAGGACATGGCGGTCGCCGCGTCGTCGTGGGCGGCGGGGAGGCGGTGCTCGGGGGCGAGGCGGTAGTCGGCGGAGAGGACGACGGCGGGAAGCTCGTGGGCGAGGCGGAGGCAGCACGCGTGGAAGTTATCCATCTCGAAGCTGCCGATGAAGTACCCGCCGCCGTGGAAGTAGACGAGCACCGGGAGCTTCTCGCCGGCGACGGTAGCCGCCGGTGGCCTGTACACCCGCAGCTTGAGGCCGCGGCCGGCGTCGTAGACGACGTCCTTCCACTGGACGGTGGACAGCGCGGGAGGCAAGACCGGCGGAGGGAGGATGTTGTAGTCCTCGAAGCGGATCACCGTGCCGTCGCTGAAGAGCTGGAGGTTAGGGCCGCAGTCCTCGACGACGTACGGCGCCGGCGTGGTGGACGCCATGGCCGGCGAGCTCTCGCTTGGCGAAGTGGACTCAGGCAGCTCAGTTTGACTCATGCTGTAATCGACTCCTCGGCTCCACTACAGCTGGGAATGAGCTTTCCGGTACTATTTGTAGCAGGAGTAGCTAGTAGTAGTAATCGATTAGAACTTTGATGCAAGTGTGAGACGATTGGGTGGCGAAGCACGTGGATTTCGTTGAATAGTTGCCGAGGGCTAATTTCGACAGATTCATGATAATTGCTTGGCACCTACGGATGCGAAGTTGCTTGTTGACCACTGCAATTTTGATTTGGTGATTTGACTTTTCATCGTCATGCGATGTGAGTAGTGTACGACTGTACTCCTACCGAGTAGCAGTGGCGGATCACGCATAATCTATCTGCTGACTCCACAGCTTGTTTAAACGCTCTTATAAAACTTGATTTTTATGTATAAATTCAGAAAAAACAGAGAAATAATTACACTAGAATACAAACTAGAAGTAATCGACCCTATATAGTTAAATTTTTGGCTCCGCCACTACGGAGTAGCCCACTATTTTCTCGTCTGTTGTGATGAACCGGCGTGTCGAGCACCAGATCTGTATGAATGCGTCAAGTGCAGCACATGCCGTCGTTGCCACTAAGATCTGCGCCTGATTAGTGTTGCAAGATCTTTTTGCATTGCCCATTTTGGATGGTCGTTGACGCAAGTTCGCTACGAACAACTGTTACTTAGAAGGCACAGGCTCAGAATAAATTTTAAACTCTCGTTCTTCGTTATGTATACGTCACTTAAATAGTTATAAACTTACTTTTAAAATATTAAAAAAATATACTAACATGTGATAGATCACTCTACAAAATATGCAAGTTAAATTTTGATTCTTACAAGTTAAAAAAAATGAAATTACAGCTAGTTAAAATATATTTACAATTTTTTTTCGTTCTAACATGTAAAACTTAAATTTTAACTTCCATGTTTATGAAGTGATCAATCATATATTAATTTATTTTATTAATTTTTTTTAAAAAATACCTATTTAAGTGTCATATAAACAATGAAAAGATATTCCCTCAAAATTTTAGAATAATCTTTCAACATAATACTCTGTTCCAATAAAAACAAACCCTAGCTACGAAACTGGACACACATGTTCAGTTCAGATACATAGCTAGGATTGGTTTATTTTTGGAACGGAGAGGGTAGGCTACATGGTTGACGACTCCTCCCTTTAGTGAAAGCTCAATAGTCAACATATTACAGGAGAGGTCAGATCACAGAACGAAAAATGCAGTGGCTATCAAGCAACTTCACATTCGTATAGGCGCAAGCAATTAATTTCTAGAGCTTAGCTTCGATTAATATACAAACTACTCCATATTAGTATATCAACGTGCTGCGACAGCGCCCCGCATATTATTGTCGTGCCTAATTAATCAGCTCATTGTATATTAGCACCCGAAGTGATGATTTCTCCAAGCTGCAGGGTAATCGATTCGATTCGTCCTCTGTATGACTGTATTTAGCTTCAAATCAAACTGAGATGACTGAGTCGACCTCACCGGCCATGGCGACGGCATCCTCCACGCCGGCGCCGTACGTCGTCGAGGACTGCGGCCCTAACCTCCAGCTCTTGAGCGACGGCACGGTGGTCCGCTTCGAGGACTAGAACACCCTCCCTCCGGTACCGGAGTTGCGCCACCCCCGCTGTCCGCCGTCCAGTGGAAGGACGTCGTCTACGACGCCGGCCGCGGCCTCAAGCTTCGGGCGTACAAGCCACAGGCCGCCGTCGCTGGGGAGAAGCAGAATCTCCCGGTGCTCGTCTACTTCCACGGCAGTGGGTACATACGAGCTTCCCGCCGTCGTCCTCTCCGCCGATATACCGCCTCCCCGCTGCCCACGGCGACGCGGCGACCGTCATGTCCTTGGTGCGTGACCAGGTCGTGGCGACCGGCGACCCCTGGCTGTCGGAGTCGTCGGCGGATTTCGGCCGGGTGTTCATCTCCGGCGACCAGGCATGGCGTCTCGCGCTACCGCAGCTGGGATTAATTCGCGTTCAGTTGCTAAAAAAAATGCCGGTGCTCGGCGGCGATGATGGCGAGACTGCGGCCACGGGGAGCACAGATGGAGCATATGAGCGCGGAGGCGGCGGAGCATGTGGTTCCAAGGTTTTGACGGCGCGGAGAGAGTGGGACGACTCGACCCGAACAGGGTGTAATCGATTCATGGCTTCAATAGTCTCTAACTGAAAGCTGCAGAGCAAGGCGAACTTAAGCTCCTCAAGCAATGAAGCATCTGACGAAATCTGTGAGAAGAAAGCAGTGCACAACTCACTGAAATCAAAATTTCAGACAACTCAGCGTACTTTCAAAGACTATTTGATAGTAAACATTGTGAGTGGAAAGCGAGGAACAATTCACTGAATGAAAATAAAATTTCAGATAACCAAACTTACTTTCACATATAAACTAGCTAGCAGCTAGTACTAATTGAATCTTGCAAATGTTGGTTTGGTAACCTGGAAGCATCATATTCAGCATAAGTCAGCTAATAAACCACATTCAGAGAAAGGGAGAAACTACCAGGCTACCAGTGATAAATTTTTTTTGGACACATGGCGGCATCATAACATATAAGTCAGGGAAACATAAGTAAGATTTGAAGTAACATCCCCGTCCCCAAATATGATTTTAGTTTATGCCAGCCAACACTAGCATCAGATTTTCTTCTTTTCCCTAATTAGACCCATCTTTTCTCTTCAAATATAGATGGACCTCATTTCAGTCGAATGGCTGTTACATCTGGCCCAAAATCTACAATTGCATCTGCAGCCATCCGATGAAGATTTGGAATTAAATTTGAAAATATACATTGTTTTTCAATATTTTGCGTTTATATACATGCATGTAAAACATTTGCACAAATATACCTCAAATATACCTTCTCCGTAGGATGGGAACGCGGGACCGAGGCGGTGCCGTGCTTTCATTCTGCGGGACCGGCGGTCGCGCAGCACGGACGTGCGGCACCGCTCGCTCCCGCAGCCCGGAAGAGCAGCAGCGTGGTAGAGGGCAGCTGGACACGGTCGAGGCGCCGCGGAGCCTCCGCGGCGCCGATGCGCGGAACCGATCCGGTCGCGCGGCACCATGGCGCGGGACCGTGCCAGTCGCGCAACGCCGTCCCGTCCCGCGTGTGCGCGTGTCGCGGTTGACGTGCCATGCAAGCATCACATGTCGAGCACGCATGCATGCAGTTGACCCAGTCAAATCCCAGGCACTAGCTTAGGGGTGTGTTCGGCACCTCCATTTTCCAACCCATCTCTCTCATTTTTCACTCGCACGCTTTTCAAACAGCTAAACGGTGTGTTTTTTAAAAAATTTTTATGCGAAAGTTGCTTAAAAAATTCAAATTAATCTATTTTTTAAAAAAATTTAGCTAATACTTTATTAATCATGCGCTAATGGACCGCTCCGTTTTCCGCGTATTCCTAGTTGGGAACCTATACTAGCGAACACACCCTAGGCCTGTTTAAATCCCACCCTAACATTTTTCACCATGTTACATCAAACGTTTGAACACCTACATAAATTATTAAATATAAGCTAAAAAATAACTAATTGCACAGACTGTGACTAATTTGCGAGACGAATCTTTTAAACCTAATTACTCCATGATTTAACAATGTTGTGCTACAGTAAACATTTGCTAATGACAGATTAATTTGGCTTAATAAATCCCTTAAGCTAGTGACTATGTATTGTGGGGTTTGACTGGCTCAACTGCCTGCATGCGACCATGCGTGCTTGACAGGTGATGCTTGCATGGCGCGTGTCGACCGCGACACGTGCACGCACGGGACGGGACGGGACGGTGCTGCGTGCCATGGTGCCGCGCGACCGGGTTGGTCCCGCGCATCGGCGCCGTGCGACCGCCTCAGCACCGCGTGCAGCCGCCCTCCACCACGCTGCCGCTCTCCCGGGCTGCGGGAGCGAGCGGTGTCGCACGGCCGTGCTGCGCGACCGTCGGTCCCGCAGAATGGAAGCGCGGCACCGCTTGCGGAGGAGGTATATTTATGCAAATATTTTACATACATGTATATAAACGCAAAATATTAAAAAACAATGTATATTTTCAAATTTAATTCCTTCATTTGCACATAGAAGTCTTGCAATTTTTTTTTACTTACGGGGCTTTATCATGCACATTCAACAACTTTTCTACTTACGGGGCTTTATCAGGTAAGGCAAAGGCATTACTAGCAGGGGAGGCAGGGACATTAGGTGGGGAGACAACAGTGGCAATGGCGGCGGTGGAGACAGTAGGAGCAACAGTAGGGAAGGCAACAGCTGCAGTAGGAGGGATATAGCTTGTGAGGTCGGAAGGCACAACAACTGGGGCATAGCTGTAAGCCGAAGGAATGGGTGCGGAAGAGACAAGCGTGGCACTAAGCATATCGACACGAAGGAAATGTCGCACATTGCTGGGTAGGACAACTCCTGAGGCACTGAGATCATACTCGCCAAAGCATAAAGCAAATGACATGCTCCTCGTGCATACTCAGCACAGGATACATGGCCGCCATGTCCATGGGTAAATTAGCAGCCAAGAATGCAGGTTGTGTCCACAATGTCTTAAGATTTAGGACATGCTCCTTCACCCAAATCTTAGCATACACCTCCAGCCGCCATACGGTCACCTTGGGGGCACCACGTTTGACGCATCCGCTGAAGTGCATAGAGATCAACTTGATGGAGTTTCCAGTGCAGCCAACGGTACGATATGCTTGACGCTCTGCCATTGTCCAGCTATGCGGGGTGAACTTGAGGCAATCTAGAGGAAGATCGATGGAGTCAAAGTCTACATCCTTGACGTCGTCAGAGAGCAGGTCAGCGCAAGAGCAGAACAAGACGCCGTGTATCAGATCCACCCAGAAGGCATGCCCCTCAAAGGAGAAGGCCATATCAGCTGAGAACGCACTCTTGTCCGCCATCCACTGTTGGGGAAGGTTGGCATTCTTGATCAGCTTCCACGGTGAGATCGACGATGATGGCCGCCATTGGTAGATAACATCTGGCCAGCTGATCACAGGCATCTCTCCCGGCTTGTCAACCACCCCCATC